ACACACACACACACACACACAATACATACATACACACATACGTACAAACACGCGCACACATGCATGCGTGCATACCTGTATAAAGTGGTATATATGAGCCTCCTCCAGCAAGCAACACAAGGCATATGACTGTAGTTTTCATTTGTATAAATATCCCTTTGCGTAATTTACCCACCCATTTAAAAACTTGGGTTATCGCTGTTAGGGAGGTTTTATGCTAAAATGTTGAAGCTAAAAGGGGTTCTCTGTGAACCCCTAACTCAAAGAAGGGGGTTTTCTTGTATTTTGAAAGTTGTGGAGGGTTAACTGTTAATCATCCAAAGTTAAGAGGGGGATTTCTGATATTTAGCCTTGAAATTATGCTCACAGCTTTATAAGATGTTCCTGTGCTTCTCAACCAATAAACAAAAAGGGAAAAAAATAATTGGCGATGATGATTTGCCCAATAGCAAAGTATTTCCAACCACGCTCTTAATGTTATGAAGTGGCAAGGCAAGCTTGGATGGCCTGCAGGCAACCATCTTGCAGCCCTTCATTATTTATAGAGGTAAAAGAGCTTAATCATTCGCGATCACTGTAATTTTGAGTTCAAGTGGCATATCTGAGCCGCCTCCAACATGCAAGCCCGGTCTGACAACTGGTTTGTTCCTTACAGATCCATGGGTCCATGGCTGTTTTTTCTTCATCTTCTTTTGGGAAAGGCATCCGCATCCCTTTACCTCTTTATGGTCTGCTTATACATATACATTTTTTCTTGTTTAACATATTGTCATGATAATTAAGTATTTATGCATTCTTCTGTCTCAAACAAGTCTTAATAGAAAAATTCAGATCTTTTAGGTTTTACTTTCTTCTTAAAAATCTGGAAGGGGGTTATGTGTAATAGATTTGTTAAATTTACTATTAAATTTCTTTAATTTATTTTAAAATAGAGTTGTTATAGATTTAACGGTAAATTTAACAAATAGTAATGGTTAGAAAGTTATAAAGTTAGCATGTGAGTGTTGTATGGGAACATTCGGGTGAAAGTGTTCACGTTTGCACAATAATGGGTACCAACGTGCCAATTTTAAATAACTTAAGAGTATACAAATGCTACGAGAAACAAGTGAGGGTATTTAAGAGGCAGCTGAGTGAAATTATGAGGTATATGAGTGCTATTTAGCCAATAATTTATTAAATGAATATGCCTTTTCTTTCGACTATCTTTTTTCTTTTAAGAATAATAAGTCTTTCCTTAAAGAGCACAACTCACAGGTTTAGATAAAAATGCAGCTGTCCGTGCATCTTCGTCCTCTCTTTTGCCCTGAAGTGGTTTTTGGTAAATTTCACAAACGTAAACCTTGGGTGATTTGCACCAGATCTCACTGACTTCGAAAATTAGAAAAAACTGCCCAAAACTTTTTGGTGCTTTCGCAACCCCACCTCTTCTGATTTTTTTGATTGCTACGGTTACAATAATGGTGATGCAAGCTTGGACGGCCTGCTAGTATGCAGGCAACCACTTTGCAGCCAACTAGTTATTTTGGTAGAGAGAGAAAGAGAGAGATTGTATCACGTGGGGGGTTTGCAAACGGTCGCTTTTTGTCTATTTTTTGTCAAACGAAACTGAACAGAATCAAATCGGTCTGATGTGGTTCCGTTCAGTTTATTTGGTTTGGGCATAGACATGTCAAGTTAGAGAATTTTTGGCTAAAAGACGACACCTATGTTACCTGGGTGCTTCTAATTTGAAGCCGTACCAGTACCCGACTTGTACCCATACCTGCACTCATACCCAAACTTTCCTTGGACACTCGTTGCATATATGCATACGTTTAATCTTGCATGTACTCAATTGTACTATACATGTTTCAATTTAAAACACTTTTCATACATTTTTGTACATATATCCTACACTTCACATCCAATTCTTTAAACTCCCTGGACATAGATCAACCTCTTAATTATGATTTAAAAGGTTGTTTGGATGTCTAGTTCAAAAACTAGTGATTTTCCATTTTTCCAATTTATAATCTATGTAATAAAAGAAACACTAAATTGTTATAGGAATTTTAGTTATTATCCTTGTTTTCTTATAAATTATTATTTCCAATATATAATATATGTGTATATAAATATTTATATAGCTGTGTCCTCGTACCCTACCTTTTACAAATTTGCCATGTCCCGTGCCCGCACCAGTACCCATAACCATACCCATGCAACACAAGATGACAATCTTGCTTCTTCTAACCTCTCGCTCATCTCATATCCAAAGTTGAAGAGAAAATTCATCAAATCAACTAATTTTCAAACTGAAACCGAACTTTTATCAATTAAGATAAATAAAAATATTAGTATAATTATTTTTTTCACCTAGACAATTATGTTGAGATCGAATAGTTTGTTGGATAGCAGTATTCCTAATCTATTTTGGTAACATGAGGTCATTAGGATTTCTAATCTATTTTGGTAACATGGGATTATTAGGATTCCTAATCTATTTTGGTAACATGGGGTTATTAGGATTCCTAATTTGTTTTGTTTTTGGTTTTAGGATTCCTTCTGTTTTGGTTTTAGTTTTTCTATATATATGGAGATTAGAATCAATCATCAAAATAGAGGAGAGTTGTAATCAGAGATTAGAGAGACTTTTGAGCATTGTGAGAGGGAGATATTGTGAGCAAGTTGAGAGCTTTGGTTGAGGGTTAGTTTGTGAGTTTTGTGAGATTGTAACCCTTTGTACTCTCCTTGATTTAGTAGAATCTCTCCATCCTTTCCCCGTGAACGTAGGCAATTTGTCGAACCACGTAAAATTGGTTGTCTCGCTATTTGTGTGATTTGTAATAGCTTTTAGGTTCCCTCGACAGGTCAGTCCTAGAACTGATGAGAGGAAGAGCTGATATCTCACTTGGTTGAGATATTTTGTTTAAGGTTCTTGTTTCCTTTGTGAATGATGAGAGGAAGAGCTGATATCTCACTTGGTTGAGATATTTTGTTTAAGGTTCTTGTTTCCTTTGTGAAACAGGAATTCCTATTGCGACCTGACTCTCTTGTTGTGCTGCTGAAGTGCTGTCGAAATTTCCGCTGCGCGCAACACAGTTTAGTTATTTTAGTTTCAAATATTCGAAAACCAATCCAAGCTGAAGTTTTTCTAAAACCGAACCGAAATGCTGAAATTCGGTCGGTTTGGTCAGTTTATTCGGTTGGCACCAATTAGTGCTCACCCCCAGTACTATCACCTATCGTCATTATGATGTTTGTTTAAGCTTTAAAGTGGCTTCTGAGCTGCTCTTCTGACTTGCAAGCGAGGGCCGGCTGCAGGTGGCCATGGTGGTTCTTTCTTGACGTTATGTTTATGAACACAATGTTTTGGTTAGTGCACTATCATGATATGACGTTCCTTAGTTTTTGCTTTATGTTTTGAGCATACTTATAAAACTTCGGTGTTATTTTCCTTTAGATGATCTCCCCGGGATCAAATTTATCGCTGTTATCTTCGGGATAGCCTTCCCCCATCACCCACCCCCAACAAAAAAAAAAGAAAAGAAAAAGAAAAAGAGAGGGTTTTTAATGTTGCGGTTTCTTGGTGTGAAATTAGGGTTATAACTCGATCAAACCAGGAAAAAAAGAAGAAGAGAAAATGGCGATGATGATTTGCCTAAAAGCATCAGTTGTTTGATTGCTAAGGTTATGAAAATGGGAAGGCAAGCTTGGATGGCGTGCTAGTGTGCAGGCAACCAGCTTGCAGTCTTCCATTTGCTTTGTTAGAGAGAGAGGGAGAGAGGCATTGTATATTCTTTGTTACTGATGCTACTTTAAACCGGCATATCTGAGCCTCCATAAGGAACTAGCCCTCACATAGTGTAAGTACTGGCGATTCATGTATTGGGATTAATGAAATTGGTTTGCCTTCTGAAATTGCTAAAAAAGTTACATTTGAAGAGAGGGTCACAGCTCATAATCTTGAGCGTTTGCAGAAAATAGTAAACGTCGTGTGACCTATAAAGATGGCAAATCTTTATCCCCAGTCCCTTGCTGCACTGACTAAATTTGTGGGATTATTCTGTGTTGATCAACAGCTACGTAGCTCTCACAGTGGGTAGTTGAACTTTCAATTGGTTAGTGATTTTCTATTATCACTAAAGCTCATGGTCAATTCATTTTTTTCTGAGAAAAGAGAAAGCACAGCAGTTGGGGATGTTTGTTTTTCCTGTCTTATCACCTCCTGCTGTATTTCAAGCTTGTGATTCTGGCTCTTGCTGGACCATATATCACTTTTTGCAGTGTGCTTTGCCATTGTTGGCTATATTGGAAAAAGGCATGTAATTGTTGGGGAATTTTAGTCTCTCTGCCTACTACGATCTCCACAACTCGGAAGCTAACCCACAATCAACAAGATATAAAACAACCATAATCAAGAAGAAAGAACACCGAAATTTACATGGTTCGGTCGACCAACTTCGACCTACGTCCACGGGCAACAATACGAGAAATCCACTATGTATCAGGGAGAATTAAAAGAGGAACTACTCAACTCTCGTCTCTCAACCTCACATACATAATCAACTCTCATATTCTCTCCAAAGCCCTCTCCTTACAATCTTTTGAGCGGACAAAGACTGCAAAATCCTCTCCCAAAGATGTAACTTTTTGCACGAACAAAGACTACAAAACCCTTGTCTCTCGCATAATATTCTTGAATCGGGCTACGCCCTCTGCTAACCCTAGATTACAAGAATATTGGTTCTCTCTCTTCTGCTTGATTTTTCTTCCAACAATAGAAGAATATCTATATATGGAAACCAAAACCCTATCTCTAGCCTAACTTCCTAATTAGAATAGGATTCAAACTCCTAATCATGATGAGACTTAATCTCCTAATCATGATAGATCTCCAACCCTATCTAATTCTCATGAAGTGATACAAAGAATTAAAGACACGATCCTAACAGTAATCAATTAGAGTTAAATTCTGAAATTTGAGTTTAATAGGGACTTTCTGCAGTCATCACTACTGACATCATTACTTCCATATTTGTTGCAAAGGGTCCTAGGGCTGCTCTTAGCTTTTTCAATTCACCGCTCCACTTTTCTTGGAGATGTTGCAGTTAGAAGAATCTAGTGTAATCCGCAAGACTTTTACGTTCCAAATCCCATCCTGAGAGAGGTTAAAGATTGCATACAGGTGATTTCATCTTTAGTATACAGGTGATTTCATCTTTAGTGCCACAATTGCGCATGTCGTATGATGAGCTTCTAGGACTGCAAGTTGAGAAAGATACTAATCATCTCAAAATACCCATTGTTGCATTCATTTTATAGTCATCTTGTTTTGGTTATGTGATTGAATTCAAAGAGTGAGTCCTCGATTGGTAAGGTTCTTCAATAGATAGGTTTTTTCGGCCTTCAACTCTTTAAGGGAAAGTTATATTCGAAGGCCTTGGTTGGGGATATCCATCTCCAATTTGTAAGTAGATTCTCAACAACAGATGTTAGGCCGTCATCTGAGGCACATGGGCTAGCAATGGGCCGGTCTCGGATTGAGTATTTGCTGGTAACATTTTTAGATCTATGGTTGCTGATATGTTGGTAGTTTACATGACATTGCTCTTATATACCCTCTCTTATTTTCTTGACATTTAAATACCCTATTGTTTTTAAGGTAGCATGTGCTACCTTCTATTAATCTTACCTTCAGTTAGTAAGATTAACGGTTATGAAATGGCAAGGTGAGCTTGGATGTCTAGTAGCATGCAGGCAACATCTTGCAGCCACTCATTTCTTGTTTCTAGAGAGATTAAATATATTTATTATGCCCAAATTTTGTGATGTTTGAAGTAATGTGGCATATCTGAACCTACTTGAACATGCAAGCTAGGGCTGACAACAGCAGGGGTTTGAGTTGGGTTGGAAGTTCCCTTTCAGATCCATTGAAAAATAGGAGGAAGAAGAAGAAGAAGAAGAAGTCAAATTATGATTTTCCGGATGTGTCAGTGTCGTATGATTGTGATTGCTAAGGTTATAAAAATGGCGAGGCAAGCTTGGATGGCCTGCTAATATTCTGTCAACCAGCTTGCAGCCACCCATTCACTCTTTTGGATTTTTGCTTATACAACGAAAGTTTTACCCCTATTTACTTAAAAACCCATATAGTTCTATATGTTCTCATACACCCAAAATGCACAAAGTTTCTATACCTTTAAACCCAAAGTGCAGAAGACATTGAAAAGTGTATAGCTACATACCAATTACTCTCTAACTACTTGTGCTTTCTTGTGTCCTTGTTTAGTAGGTAACTTTCTTTTCACTTTCTTCTCTATGATTTCTCACAGTAATCCAAAAAAAAAGAAAAACTTTTGTTATATTTCTTTTGAAGGGATCATCTGCAATTTACGCTTTTTTGGGATGTTTTTTTCCTTTCAAATTATGCTTATAGCTCCATGAGATGGTACTGTCCTCCTCGGACAAAGAAATGAAAAGAAAAAGATATTGGCGATGATGATCTGCCCAAATGCATCAATCATACTGATACACCAGCTGTTGGTAAACCGAACTGTAAGGTTGTGAAGTGGTGAGGTAAGATTGGACGGCCTTGTCGCATGCGGGCAACCATCTTGCAGCCACTCATTTCTGTTTTGGTTTCTTACCTATATCCCCCAAATCAAACATATTTGCAAATTTACTCTCAAAATCAAGATATTTTCTAATTTTCTCCCAAGTTTGACTACATTTGAGTTAAAATACCCACCTGATTCTCTCCATCTCTGTGATGCTTGAATTAAAGTGGCATATCTGAGCCTCCAGTATGCACTCCTTGGCTGACAACTGGTTGGGTATTTGTGAGTATTCCTTGCGGATCCATGGAACTCTTGCACTCGCCCCCTATGGTCTGTATATATATGCATTTATTTTTCTGGAAGACATTGTTATGATGATTATGTTATTTATGAATTACTTTCTTTCACAAGCAAATCTTAGTGTAAATATTCTGATTTTGTAATTTTTAATTTTTTAAAGAAATTCTGGTAGGGGGTTAGCTGCAATATACCCTTGCTTTATATTTCAGCGGCTAATTTAATAATATGGAAGATTTGGAAGACTAATATCTGAAAAATTCTTAGTTATTTTTGCACTTACAATTTCATTGATTTTCCCAAATGCATTTATCTTTTTGATTGACATATGTTGGGAGAAATGACGAGGTGAGGTTGAGGTGCCTGCTACTAAACAGGCAAATAGCTCGCTGCCATCACACATTCTTTTAAGATAAGGTGCAGTCTACCTGATCCACCTCCTTTAAATATGCATGCTAGGGTCAAAAGCAGGTAGGGTTTGGATCAGTTGCTGCAAGATACAGGGTGCAAAAAAAAATCTGTGTTCATGGATTTATTCATATCCGTATATGTTAGGGGTGCAAAAAGTACCCTCATGCATGGATATATCTGTATCCATATCCGTTATGATGCGAATATGAATACTCAGATATGGATACAACATATCTGATGGGTACTTTTTCCGTCGAGGGACCAAATTGCGAGACCCCTTATGATTTGAGGGGCTTATGAGCAATTTCAAAGGTTGAGGGGATAACGTGGAACTATTGAAGATATGAGGGACTAATATCTAAATATTTCTCTTCATTGCTATTCCTCGGTTTCTATGAAGTTTTTTTGCACTGAAGTGCATGCAGCTGCAACTTTGTAAAAATAGAAGCATATAAGAATTAATTTGCAAAAGGAATATCTCAAGCGAATGCACGTGTTGTACAGCCAATTACAATGTAAGCGCTTGGCGGTGCTGTTTCTCCTTTTCCTCTAACTCACCTGTTCTCTTTTCATCCTACTAACGAGTTTAATGCAGCTATTCTTTCTGTTTTTACTTATAAATCTTCAGAGCTCTGACGCTTGATGATTCTCCCATTTCATTTTCTTTGTGCAGATATCTGAAGGGGGTACCTGCAATTTATCCGTTCTTTGTCTTGGGTTTAATAACTCTAAAATTGGGCTTGCAACTCCATAAAATCCAAGGAAAAGAAGGAACAAATGCTAAAATGATGATTTTCCCAGAATGCATTAATTGTTTGATTGCAAATAGGTAAGGCAAGCATGGACGACGTGCTAGTATGAATGCAAACAGCTTGCAGCCATTTGCTTTGGGTTAAAATTACTAAATTGATATTTTTAGCATTACACACTTTTCGATTAGGTATCTGTAGTTGTCTTACTCTTTATTTGTTAGAGAAACATGACACATACATTATTCATAGTCGTAATGTCCTGAAAACTGGCATGTCTGAATCTCATCATATATCTCCACATGCAAGCTAGGGTTGCAACCTATGTTTGCAAGGTGCTTCTACTTGGAGCCGTACCCATGTCTTACACATACCCAACACCAAAACTTCAATGGACACTACTTGGATATTTGCATACACTTATTCAAATGTGTACTCAATTGTATAATACATGAATTAATTAAACATATGTCATGTATTTCTTGGATGTATACCCACTCCACATGCAATTTTTGAAACTAGCTGAACATACTTCGTCGTTTCAGCCCATCCCAATTCAAAACTATGATTATCAAGGGTCTTTTGGATATCAAGTAAAAAACATGCGTAAATTTCTGATTTATGATATTATAACAGAAACACATAATGTTTTAGGAAATTTGTCTCGTAGCACGTGGAATGGAAAAATAAATAGATCTCATGCAGATTATTATTTACATACATGTATGTGTAGTTGTGTCCATGTACCCTGCCTTTTACAAATTTTCCGGGTGCAGGGCCCCCACCCATACCTGCATCCGTAACTATATGTGTAACTTAGCTTGTGACGGTACAAGTTTTTGATGGGTATTGCAGCTTCCACTTGCAGATCCGTCCATAGTTATTTAGTATATATATTCTTGCAACAATATTTGTTGCAGAACTTGTATGGTTTATTGCTTGCTCTTCCATACAACCCCCCACCCCCCCTCTTTATATTGATTTTTTTTTGTTTTGACTATTTAAAGCTTATGTGAGTCGGATTTTCTTAAAAAAATTTAGTGTACTTTCTCTTCCTCTATTTGGGATTTTCCAATTTTCAATTTGGGTTTATGATTCCATGATTGTAATTCTTGAACTGTGTAATGTGTCAATTTTTACCGCAAGCACCCAACAATCTAACAAAGACAATTCGCAAGTTCTACTTTCCACTTTTTGTTACTATAGTGGTACATAAAGGATTAGTTCATAGTCTTTCTCGTTCTCTCTTTGCACTCTTTTTGAAGATGTCTTTTCTTTTTAGGATTCATGGATTGTCATTATTATATGATCATGATGATGGTAATGTTTTTTTCTTTTATTATGAGTTAGCTAAATGGTCAAGAGGAAAGGATTACAGGGATGTTCTCATATTAGACCCTAAATTTTATCCCATTTTTTATTGCGCCTCCAATCTTCTATTTGTAATTTACGCCCTCATATCTATTAAATTGTTTTAAACAACACGTCCACATTTGTATACCTCCAAATCCATTAAGTTGTTTTAGATAACACAACCATTTTGAACAAATATGAATTTTTTTTCTTTTTCTTGGGTGGGGTGGGTAATCTACAAAATATGAAGATTTTGTTGCCTAGTATAAAAGTAGGATAGAATTCAGGATCTAGTATGAGAAAAATCCAACATTATAAATTGATATTCAATTTATTCTTAGTTGTTATTGTTAATATGATTCCTGCATGCTTCCGTCATGTGTCTCATCATGATTAAGGTGTGGTCATATAGTTTTAAGATATTTACGCTTGTCATGAATTTATTGTTTTCACATTCAATATGTAGATGTGTCATGTCTATTATTCGGACTTTTGATAGTTTGATGGATAATTTTGGACTCGTAACAAATTTTTATTTTTTTATCTAACTACTCACATAAAATATTTATTGAAAAGAAAATAGTATTAATAAAAGTAGCAGATGACATTTAAAGAAAAAGCAATGATATGTTTTAGAGAATAATTTATCAATTGCGTGAACTTTGCTTTTGACTGTCTTTTTTTTAACAGTGGCAAGTCCTTCCTTCGGGAACATAACCAACTGGTATAAGTGATTATGCAGGCGCTCAAGCAACTTCCTCCTCAGTTTCTGTGAAGCAATTTTCCCTGAAACTCTGCATTGAGAAAAAGTAGATTCTACTATGACATAAACTATAACAATGCGTTTCTCCAAATTTTTTGGGGACTACTACGTGTACTTTTGTTCTTCTCATTGGTGCAGTAAGTGGCCTATGTTTTACATAATCAGACTATTTCAATCGTTCTCTCATTTTATCCTTAATTCAAGCAAACCTCTGACTTGCATTTTGTTTCTTAATTGATCCATAAATCATTGTCGGCCTTATAGTTGTCTTGTTGAAAAGGTTGATATTCTGCTACCTATTTGCAATGGAAAAATCCAAATCCTATAGAAATGGCGAGGATGGCCTGCTAGTATGCAGGCAACCAGTTTGCAGCCATCTCGTTACTTTATTAGAGAGAGAAAGGGAGAGGTTGTACCCATCGTTATTATGATGTTGTCCAGGATTTCATTTTCCACAAGGGCCTTATATATGTCATTGACCGTGGACTATGTTACCCAGGTACTTCTATCTTGCAGCTGTACCAGACACGTAGCTGCACCCAAACTTCATGGACACTCTTTGGATATGTGCATACATTTATTCAGACATGTACTCAATTATATGATATATGTTTTAATTTAAAACACTTGTCAAATATTTCTTGGATGTATGTCCTAAACTTCACATCCAATTCTTGAATCTTGTTAGACATGGGTTGGTTTTGTTTCAGCCTATTCCCAAGTTCAAAGCTATGATCTTAAAGGGTCGTTTGGGTGTCTATTTCAAAACAGAGTAGTTTCCAATTCATAATAATCAACATAATAAAAGAAACTTTAAAAATGTGATAATAATTTTAATCCTAATAACACATGAAAACAATTATGTTCTCATATAAATTATTAATTTTAATATATATAATTAATTAGGCGTGTCCCTATATCCTACATTTACAATTTTGCCATGTTCTGTACTTTTACCCGCACTTGTACCGGTACCCATATTAGTTCCCATGCAACTTTGACCATGTAAGAAACCTGGGTATATTCAATTTCAACGATCCAGCATCATAATCACTTGTTCTTAGTGTCCAGACATATGGAGATATTCCCTTTCCACGTCCTTAAAGGGTGCATCAGAGACATGGGCATATTTGTGTCGATTGATCAATCCATGTATCTTTCAGCTCGTGATTTCCCATAATCTCTTAAACCCAACTCCATTTATTTCACAGAAAGTCATAAGATGGCTCCCTGGCAAAGTGCTTGGGCTCCTCGGCAGAGTTTTCATTTTGGACGATGGAAGAATCTACTTTTTGTGCAGACTATGAATAATAAAGGCATGGTCGATGGGCCCCTTTGGTCGCCAAATGTATGGTTCATGCCTGCAACTACTTTTAAAATCCCACCTTAATTTAGGCATGCTGTGGATTTTTCAAATTTGAGGCAGGCCATGTGCCGTACCTCAAACATATCTGTTGGCCTTGTGTTTGGACATGGTAATTTTTTCTCTATGTTATTTACATGCAAATATTTATTTTGTTAGCGCATTATTATGATATGATGTTTATAGCTTTAGCTTTATTTCTCATCAAAGTTTATCAGAGACTTTTGTGTAATTTTAAAGTTTATCAGAGACTTTTGTGTAATTTTTCTTTTTTTTATTTGGGTTCTTCTTTGCTAACATATTGTGCTAATTTTGACTGCATGACTCATTCAATTGCGTGAACTTATACGAAAATTGGAAAGAGAAAACATTAATCTTTATTGTAGGTACTATGCCAAAGAGAATGATTGAATAATTAATGAATCAGGACGACAAAACTAGATGAAAAGAAGCACCAAAACACTATAATTCTGTTAATTTTGTATGTAAAATTAGTTACTTTCATTAGTAATCAACACATACAAGAAAAGGAAATACAAATAATAACGTAAAAATGGTATTTAATATTTCTTTTAAGAAAAAACAAATACATGTTAAAGATAGTTTAAGTAAATTTTTTGAAAGCATACATTTTGTTTTATCATATTTCTCTTGCTTATTCCGCTCATTTTTAATGAAGTGTTTCTTCTTTGCAACTCAATGCAACTACTTTGCAATAATGGAATTACATGCGGAATAATCTGCAAAAAAATTCCTAAAGCAAGGCACATGCTTAACAGCCAATTACAATGCAAGCGCTTAGTGGTACTGTTTCCCCCTCTCCCTCTCATCGCCCTGTTCTCTTTTTACCTTTCAACAAGTTTAATGCAGCAATTCTTTCTCTTGTTATTAAGGGGCTGTTTGTTTGCGCAAATAAAGAGTGAAATGGGGGGTTTGAAATCTGACAAGAAGGCCTCATAGGATTTTGGTTTCAAGACATTTCCATTCCATGCGTTTGGTTCGCTGCGTGATTTAAAGAAATGGTGTGTGTGTGTGTGTGTGAAATGGGTTGCCACATCAGATTTTCAAGAAAACCTATTTCAGACCAAAAGTGGCTGAAATGGGTTGGAAACGTCACATCTGGGCATATTTAAATATTTAAAGCACTATTGAAACGACGGTTTGAATTGAAGGGGAATATTTAATGTCCTATCGCTGAATATTTAATTAGAAAACTTATTTGATTTCTTGATTTCTGGATGTTCAAACAAACCCAAGAAATGGGAAACTTTGTTTTCCAGCCTATGATTTCAATGTGAAACAAACCAAAAAAAAGAAAAAAAAAAGAAATGGGGGAAACCCTCTGAAATGTCCAGAAATGTTTTCCAGCCTAGTTTTCTGTTTTCTTTTTTTTTTTGGGAAATGTACCAAACAGCCCCTAAAGAGAAATATTCAGAGCTCCGACTCTTGGTGATTCTCCCTTTCTCTTTCTTCAAGTTGGTCTGAAAAGGGTTACCTGCGATTTAGCCTTTCTTATTTTTGTGGTTCATAACTGTGAAAGTGGGCTTGCAACTCCGTGAAATCTAAGGAAAAAGAAAGAAAAGAACAATGATGATTTTCCCAAATGGCATTAGTTGTTTGATTGCTAAGGTATTAAAAGTGACAAGGCAGGTTTGGACAACATGCTAGTATACAGGCAACTAGCTTGCAGGCATCCATTTACTTTGGGCTAAATTACCAAATTGGTATTTTTAGTAGCACACACTTTTCAATTTAGTATGCTCCGGAAACATTAAGGGTATTAATATCGAATTTCAACAGCGGCTAAATTACCAAATTGGTATTTTTAGTAGGACATGATTTCCGGAAGCGTTGTGAGTTCTTGTTGGGTCTTACGAATTCCACTTGCAGATCCGTTCATAATTATTTAGGATCCAATGCATGCAACAATATTGGTTGCAGAACTTGCATAATTTTCTTGCCTGCTCTCTCATGCACATAAAACTCTTTTTATATTGACTTTTTTGTTTCTGACTATTTAAAGGTTATGGTATTCAATTTTTTTCTGAAGAAAATTTAAGCATACTTCCCCTTTCTCTATTTGGCATTTCCCTATTTACAATTGCATTTATGATTTTGTGATTTTCAATTCTAGAATTGTTTAATGTATAAATTTTAATTGCAAGCAGCCAACAATCTGACTAAGACAATTCACAAGTTATGTTTTCCATTTTTATTACTATAGCGGCAATAATGATTTCCCTAAACAGACACTTTATGAATATTATTTCTTTTCAGGACTCATGGATTGTTAGGATAATTATGGTGATGATTTTTTTTTACGGATTCATGGTTTAATATATGGTGAGCTTGTAATGGACCCACAACCTTCAGATCTTCAGATCCAAGTTCTAAGAGATGTAACAAAACTTCTTGGATGCAGACATTAAGAATCACTCATGATTTGTTTTTGTTCCCTGTTTCTTGAAAAGTTTGTTTCTTATCCATATTATGTACCATATCTTTCTTCAGTGAGTTTTCATGTCCCTAGCTGCCTGGTGACCGCGTTTCCTGAATTTTACGGCTTTTCCTTACTATATAGAGGCTATGATGATTTGCTCTTAAGCTTTTTGGCTTTGATGATCGGATGTGATAGATTTGGGGGTATACAGACAAAAACCCATACATAATTGGTCTTGTTAGATGCTTAACTGAACCTAGAAGTTATTCAGCGGCAAATTTGTCTGAGAAATCCAATTGAATCAATTCTTTGATTCCTAAGGCTATAAAAATGGCGTGGCAAACTTGGATCCGCTGTTCATTCTCCGGTCTCCAGTTTGCAGCCAATCCTATATTTTGGGTGTATGAGAACATTTAGAACTATGTGGGTTTTAAAGTAAATGGGGGTAAAACTTTGGGTTTATAACCTTCAGATCTCTTTTTATTTTTTTAATGAAAAGAGATGGGAGGGAGGGAGGGGAGGATTTATATTGGCATATCTGAGCCTCCTATTTATTTATATCTTTACAATGTGGTTTGGATTACAATTTCTTGAAGAGTGTGTTTTATGTCCTTTCCTTTGCAGTTTTTTATCCATTATTTTTGGGTTTATAACTGTGTCTCTACAGGCTACCAATATTGCTGTCTCTCTTATATCACAAATTTTCCCCCTTCATGAAGGTAAAAGATTAATCTTTGCCATTTTTACAACTAGGTTTGGATATAGGAAATTTTAGATTTATGAGAAATTTCTTTTGATTGGATTGCAGATATTCTGAGTGTAAGTAGCAGTGTCTGTGGAAACTTTGTGGCGCCCACCAGACCTTTCTAATTCAGGATTCTTTGGTAGGTATTTTTCACCTGTTAGATTTGGATTCACGTATCTTCATGATAAATAAATTGATAAGACAAAGGACCTGATGTGGTAATTGAAGGATGGTAAAAAAAATGAAAATTCTAATGAAACTTAATATTATATGAAATTATGCGGTAATCTATGCGTGGGATTATATGTGCACAGAATTTAATCTTACAAGATTAAGGAAAAAAATCCTTTATATACCATGTTATTCTCACTCATGCATTTATATATGGGCTAGGTTTATGTTTTAATATGAATAAGCTAACTGACCAAGATTAAAGCATTAAAGGGATTTTTCTCATATTAGAATCTAAATTGTATCATATTTTTATATCAGGCCTCTAATCTTCATGTTTGTAATTAGCACCTCAAAGCCATTAAGGTGTTCTAAGTAACACTCCATATTTTTAATTTACACCTCCCAAAATCCATTAGTTGCGTTAGATAACAGTAACACGACTATTTCGGACAAAGGTCATTATATAGAAACCACGTTTAAAATAGCAGCATTCTACAGAAACCACCTTTAAAATAGCGGCATTTTACCGAAGCCACCTAATCTCCATTAAGGATCATCTCTCTAGTACATTTGATAACTGGCAACTAATTTTTATAGCAAAACCGAAGAAACTCCACTCAAAAGTGGCGGTTGATTGCGACAAGAAACCGTTTAACGGTGGTTTATGTATAAATTGACAATCAAAGGTGGTTTTTTGAAAATGATTCTATTTTAAAGGTAGCTTCTTTGAAAAAAACCCTTCGAACAAATAGGAATATTGGGGGGGAGGGGTTGGATGGTAATTTGCAGAAGATTTAGGATAGAATTCCAATTTGGTGTATATGCATTCTTAATATGATTTCTACATGCTTCAATATTCTGTCTCGACATTATTAGGGCATGGTCATATAGTTTGAAGTGCTTGGGTAAATCATGGTTTAAATTTTGGTGGCACCCCCCCCACCACCTCCAAAAAGAAAAAAAAAGAAAAAAGAAAAAAAAACACACACACACAGTAGCTCATTTTAGTGACTTTAGTGACACCTCATATCCAATATCCATACACACAGGCGCACATGCAATCCGTATTCTTGCAGATTAATTCAACTAATTCATGTCAGCTAAGACACAAATCTGTACTTTGAATTTGAGGGATCCATGCCTCCTGAAATTATGTTAATGTAACACCCTATATATTGTTTTCGCATGGTTTGTGCTTATGAGAGTCACTAGTTATGTTTCATGTATCTTAGCCTATTTAGCATGCAAAATTAATAATGTGGAGAAAGTTTGAATGGGATGATGCTGGAAGAATGTATCACTGGATTGCACCAGGGGTTCATTGTGTGTGATGTTGCTGTTAGAGTGATGAATGTGCTTAATAAAATAGGACGAGTGTCGGTGATTCAATGGTGTGTTGTACATATGCGGGATTGTTGTGCAAATACTAACACGTGCTTGTCTCATACTATAAGATCAGTGTCTTGGCTGTAAAATGTGATGCTGAAGAATTATTTATGTATGTGCTACCAAAAGATTGTGGTTATTTTGCCTATACAACGATTTTTCTTTTTTCTTTTTTTTTTCTTTTTCCTTATTCCTTATTCCTTTTTGTTGTCTTTTTTTGAAGTGTTCCTAAGCTGACACCTTAGATAATCATCTAAGGACGCCGCCTAAAATCACATGATTGAGCTACATTGTTGTCTTTTTTGGTTGGAGGCACATTCTGGATTTTGAACACAGACACACACATATTAAGGTGACGCCTTAGATAACTATCTAAGGACGCGGCCTAAAATCACATGATTGAGCTACATTGTGGATGATCCGTTCCGTTGAACTTGATCTATATATTCTAAAACCCTAACACACCAAATTTGGGGTGAACCCGTCGTCGTTTGACCATTCATCCACTCGTATCAATTTTAACGGTTTCGAATGAATAGAACTTTTCACATGGCTCGACGGAGGGTCAAAACGACTACGCCTTCACCCCAAACTTGGTGTGTTGGGGTTTTAGAATGTGTTAGATCAAGTTCAACGGAGCAGATTATTCACAATGTAGCTCAATCATTGTGATTTTAGGCCGCGTCCTTAGATGATTATTAAGGCGTCACCTTAGAACACTTTTCCTATATATATATATATATATATATATATATATAATATATTATATATATATATATATATATATATGAACGGGCGCGCACACGTATGTATATTAGGGTTTGTGAGCGTGATATGTGTAATGTTAGGTATGTATAGAAGATATTTGCACAATGTATGTATATATGCATGATGTATGCATTTAGTATATTATATGGAGTGTATACATGATGTATGCATTAAAGCATCTTAAAGTTCAATTTAGTGAACAAATACTAATGAATATAAGAGCATTTAAAAAGTTTGAAGGAAGATGGTTAAACTGGATAATTAGCAAATTCAAGAGACAAAAACAGTGTTATCATTAAAATGATCAAATATCTGCTCTTCTTTGGCTGCATACTTCTTTTGCAAATTAGCATGACTTATTTGACACATAAATTAGCTAATTCAAGAGACAAAAGACAAAATGCTATCATTAAACTGGATGATTAGCAAATTCAAGAGACAAAAGACAAAGTGTTATCATTACAATGGTCAAATATCTGCCCTCTCTGGCTGCATATTTCTTTTGCAAATTAGCACGAGTTATGTGACACATGTATAGGTAATAGCCATATATTAAACTAAAACAGTAACACTTTAAAAGCAAAGTGAAACCTAAAAGGACAAATTTTCAAAATAGTTTAATCACCAAAATTGACCTAGTTGCAACTTATTTAGCAATTTCAACATAGTTTCAACCACGTGGGCTGAAATTGGGTCAAAATTACGAAATATGTTCTATGAACTCTACGGGATTGAGAATCCCATAGAGTTTAGTAGAGAATTAATCTCTACGGGATCCTCAATCCCGTGGAGTTTAAAACTCATACTAAACTCCACAGCATTGTGAATCCCGTGAAGTTTATAGCATACAAACTACATGGCCTATGAAGTTTAGAGCATACGAATTACACGAGATTTATAGTCCTATGTAGTTGGCTAAGTGGTTAACTTCAGGAGAGCTAAACTTCAATTACTCAAATGGTCTTGAGTTCGAATCTTATCATCGCTGACATTATTTTATTTTTGAATTTATCTATTCAAAAGTTAAACATAAAAAAGAAAAAAAAAACATTACTCGTCTGAGATTCGAACCCATGCCCTTTCAACCCATAACTTAACTCTTATTCTCTTAACCACTCAACCAACTACATGGGATTGTGTTCCTGTGTAGTTTCTATGCTATAAACTTCACGGGATTCCCAGTCCCGTGGAGCTTAGTAGAGTTCTAAACTCTATGGTATTGAGAATCCCGTGGAGTTTAATTTTCTACTAAACAACACAGGATTTTCAATCCTGTGTAGTTTGTAGAACTTATTTATCGAACTTGACTCAACTTTAGCCCACGTTGGTGACGTGGTTGAAACCAGGTCGAATTTGATAAATAAATTACAACTAGGTCGAATTTGATAAATAAATTGCAACTAGGTCGAATTTGATAAATAAATTGCAACTAGGTCAAAAATGGTAATTATTTTTTAAAAAGGGTCTATTTTGAAAATTTGTCCACCCTAAAATCATAATCATGACTTTAATTTCTAATGTATTAAACCCTAGCTAAAACTTTAGCATGAGCATGCACTCTAGAGATAACATGTAACCCATCCAAATAGCATTACCATTTTCAAGTTATCTAAAGATGGAGTTATTTGTATCTGATGGCCTATTCTTTCAGTGGGAATATGTACTCATTGGCATCTCTTCATATTTTCTAGACAATATTAATTCCCTTTGTATGCTCTTTTTATGTTGCTATTTTCCTTTGGTTATACCATCAATATAATTATGATTTTACATTTACTTTTTTCTTTGGGAAAATTGTGTTTAGGCCCTTTTCCACTGATATAATTATGAATCACTATATATTTGAATATGTGTGTGTGTGTGTAAGCGTGCACACACACACATTTACTACAAAAATATTCTGAATCTTTAACTAATTGTGCATGGCAATGTCCTTTTTTATTGCCTCATTTGCTCACTAATTTCTTCCCTTTTCATTATATATATATATATATATATATATATATATATATATATATATATATATATATATAATATATATATATATATATATATATATATATAATATATATATAAAGAGAGAGAGAGAGAGAGCGAGAGAGAGAGAGAGATTAATGAGTATCCTTGGACAAGGAGGGGGATTCCCTCCTTGACAATGAAGTGGGCAACAATCCCCACCATGAAATTTTCTCTCCTACTTTATTCTCTCTCCTTCACACGGTGGTTGATTGCTGCCCAACATCGATTGGTCTTTTTAAAGCGAGAAAATCCTCACCTTGCTGCAAGGATACCGATTAATCTTATATGATATATAATATATATCATATATATCATATATATCATATATATATATCATATATATATATATATTAGAAAAATGGGTATGCTTGGTACCAAGCACAAAAACCGATGCTTGATAGTGAGGTGGCGTAATCTCCTCCACTCATTCAAATGGTTGCATATCCCCATACACTCCTCAACCCATGTGAATGTGGTCCCCCATTTGAATGAGTGGAGGGGATTGTGTCACCTCACTACCAAGCACAAAATTTATGCTTGGTACCAAGCATACCCATATTTCTCTCTCTATATATATAGGCGCGCACTCTGTAATAATCCATTTTGTTAAACACCAATCAATTATTAGGAGGCACACATGATGTCAGGTTTTGGAAAGAAAAAAGTTCTCAAAGGCCCATCCTAACAAGCCTAATATACAACTTCCTTTTCATATTACTTATCCTACTAGATCCCTGGTTGATTTTGTTTGGGGACCCCACCATCAAATATTAGTCATAATATACAACTTCCTTTTCATATTACTTATCCTACTAGATCCCTGGTTGATTTTGTTTGGGGACCCCACCATCAAATATTAGTCATGATCTATCATACCTTTTGAATGCACATAGATCATGAAGCCGCAACAAAATTTTTTCAGCACAAAACCGTTAGCATTAAACAAATCCCCCTCTCCCCTATTATCTCCCCACTAAGCCAAATATCTCCACAAATCTCTCCACTAACAACCAAATCTCCACCCATCTCAGCTAACTCTCCCCTAATCTCTCCACTAAACAAAACCCTCTTCAAATACTTCTCACGGATGAACAGAGAGAGACAGAGGACATTTGTTCACGGGAAAAAAAAAGAAAGAAAAAAAAGAAAGAAAGAAAAAGAACCCGAAAAAGAAAGAAAGAAAGAAAGAAAGGCAGGAGAAGGTCGAGTTTTGGATTTGGGATTCAGAGTCTTTTTCGACAAAGCGACAAGCATTTTTATCCTTTTAACTCTTTTATTGATCTTTTTTTTCTCCATAATCGGCAAGCATACCTTTCCTCATTTGATTTTTTTTATTTAATATTCTTCCATCATAATATTTTCCTTGTGGAGTCATAGACCTACTTTTCCCTTGTTAGATTTATAATAACGGGTTATTATCTGATTTCATCCTATTTTTATAGCTGGATAATTATAAGACTTTATATTAATATTTTTATGAATTTACACACCACTAAAATAATTATATAGGCAAATAATATTTGTAACCATGATTATCATGACTTATATATATAATAACGTAGTTAGTGTATATAGCAGATGAGAGGACGTCCTACTTAGCTAATTTATCTTTCAAATGTTCTCATGACTCCCTACATTTTTATTGGTCTTTACAAGACATCCTTTTCTTTAAGATTTTTGGACTCCTCGTTAAACCATCAGAACTTTATAGTAGGTAACCTATTAATTCAGATTAGAGTACAAGTATTATTCTGAATATTTGTTAATTTCTTCATGTATGTTTCAAATGCTTTCTCACGAACAATTCAATTTTCCATAAAGCATCATGTCCTCACTTTTTTTTTAGTTCCATGTCCTTTGTATTATCTTTGTTCCTTTCCCTTACTTCTTTACCGAAATATATGGTTAGTGTGACCTTTGCATGTTATTTTTATAGTATGGTCCAAGTATAAGTTGAGATTTATGAAGCCATATTACTTTTGTATACATAATGTTAGCAGCAATTAGGCCACCACCACACGCTCACACATTTCAGGTTTGGGGTATGGCGGTACACGAGGGAGTCAAGAGGATGAATAGGATACAGTAAGAATAACATATATTATATTGTATTAGTCATCAAGTGTAGTTTATATGGTTGGATTTTGACACAGTTAATCATAATTAATGTATTCATTTAACTAGTATTATATTACCTTAGTTTGTACAAGGTTAGAGTTAGAGTGAGTTTACTGTACTATGATTTTTGTATATGATACTACACAAATATTTCTTGACTACAATTCTAAATAAATTTGAACGTGATTATAGTCTAATAATTGAACTGTCAAATATTAAACATGACATTGTGACCTAATTCTAATGCTCTGAGTATTTCTTAATGGGTATGTATTGTGGTTGACATGCATGACCTTTTTTTTTTGTAAATTTGTCGCTTGATCACCTAGTTGACATCCAATAGGAGAGACTATGCATGAAGACGACTCTTGTTAAAAATATGATTTATAAGCGTGCTTTCATAGCATGGCTATGTTCTCGATATCGACATCCCGATATGAGATTCTTTTTCCTTGGCTATTACTATTATAGCATCGACTAGATGATGCACCCCTCTTGATTGGACATGTTCCGGGTCACGGTTATTTTTCATAGTTTTACAGAAGTCGTTCCACAGTAACTCTGTGGTTAGTGCATAACATTTCATGCACAGTCACTTAAAAGTAAACTGACAAACATGGGGTTCAAAAAGGGGAATTGGATGGAGAATATAACATGTATATAAGCGGGTGTGCGCATTCTTGATATCCTGGTATATATATAAGAACTAAGGGCCCATCCTGACTTGAAGCCGTGTTCCCGGGACGGTTTACGGGAAACCGACTTATATACATAAAATATTTTTCTCTAATTCAATAACATTTAAAATAAGAATAATGTGATTGTGTGTCTTGTGGTAGACTTTGTTGGATATCTACAAGTGGCAATTTCCTTTATCAGTTTTAATTGAGCCTACACTTACACGTGCATAATTTTCTCATTTTACATGCTTGTTGGGAGTTTTCTGACTCCCCTGGGGTTTGCATGCCCCAGACTTGGGAAATTGTTCTTTATTCGCAGGACCAAGAGTACTTTAAGGATTAAGACCAGCAGCAGTGATCACCTTCTCTCCCTTCACTCTCTCAACTTCAGTTATTTAGATTTTCTTGTAAACACTTGTGGTACTCCAGACTAAGATGTAATTTCCTCTTTCCTACTTTGAATAGTTGTGGACATGTAAGGGAACTTGTCTTTTCAGAGATTCCTTTATTTATCTATTTTCTTTGTTATCTTAGTTACATGCTCTATGTAATAGTTTTTTTTTGACAATATAACTGTGTACAAGATGATCTAGAGGCGTGAATGTGACCATATGGTTGCATTGCCGGCCGAGTCACGTCCCAAACTATCACGGTTTGGAACCGGGGCGTGACACACTCGCACACACATTTACTACAAAAATATTCTGAATCTTTATCCAATTATGCATGGTCTTCCTTCTCCAAATATTTCTCCCAGTACTCAAAAAACAAGAGAAGTTTCTCTTGTATCTTTGTTCTTAAAGGGGTTTATCCGCTTTTTACCCTTTTTTATTTGGGATGTTAAATTTCAAATTATGCTTACAGCTCTATGAGATGTCACTCCCCTTACCAAGGAAAGAAAAAGAAAATATATTGGCGATGATGATTTGCCTGAAAGCATCAAACTAGTAACACCAGCTCTTGCCTAATGATATGGCGGGGTGAGGTTGGATGGCCATGTAGCATGCAGGCAACCATCTTGCAGCCACTCATTACTTGTTCTTAGAGAGAGAGAGAAAGATATCACTGTGATTTTGAGTTAAAAGTGGCATATCTGAGCCTTCTCCAATATGCACACCAGGACATGTAACTGGTGGGCTACAGTTGGGTATTTGGTGAGACCCTTTCAGATCCATGAATTCATGGATGTTTATCTTCTTTTGTTAACAACAATTCTCTCTCTCTCTCTCTCTCTCATATACATATATATATACATACATGCATGCAAACACATGTTTAAAATGGCATATCTTAGCCGCCTCCAACTTGCAAGACCACGGGCATATAACCGTAACTTTCCTTGGTAAAGATATCCCTTTGTGTAGTTTTACCCACCATGTGAAACTTTGGTTAAGGCTGTTAGGCTGGTTTTCTGATAAACAAGGTGTATTTTTTAATATTTTGAAAGTTATGGTGGGTTTATCTGTTAATTGTCCAAAGTTAGGGGGGTTTTCTGATATTTAGCCTTGAAATTATGCTCACAGCTTTGTAAGATGTTCCTCTCCTCCCCGACCAAGAAACGTATAGAAGGAAAAAGATTGGCGATGATGATTTGCCCGAAAAAGATTGGCGAGGCAAGCTTGGATGGCCTGCAGGCAACCATCTTGCAGCCCTTCAATTTTTTTTATTAGATGAAAAATATTTATCTTTCGCGATCACTGTAATGTTGAGTTCAAGTGGCATATCTGAGCCTCCTCCAACGTGCAAGTTCAGTCTGACAATTATTTGGTCCCTTACAGATCCATGACTGTTATTTAGGGATGCTAAAAAATATCTGTATTTGAGGAATATCCGTTTCCGTACCCGTATCCATTAGGATGCTGATATGGTTACCAAAATCTATAACCGATAGAATGTGGTTACATATATGGTTATATTGTGAAATATCAGGATTCATATCCGAAATATCTGAACATATATTGATCATACTGTTGCAGCAATTTTAATCCTTAGATTAATGGATTTGAGGTTGATTTTGATGATCAAGATATTTTAATTTTAGCTTTTCAGATATAACAAACAATATAGTATGAACTCTATTGTATTGTATGAACTATATTTCTTCAATATTATCTAGTTTTCTCATATCTATTTTTTATTAGTATGTATATCTGCTTGTATATTTGCATGCGTATCTGCATCCACATCTGATTTTAGCGGATATGTATGTACATTTTTCTTACCGAGGCATATCCGTATCCATATCCATATCCGTGATTGGTAAGTGGATATGGATGTGGTATCATATTCGAGCTGTATCTGGACCGTATGCACGCCTACTGTTATTTCTTCATTTCCTTTGGGTAATGACAACTTTTTATCTGTCAATGGTCTGTTTATATATACACTTTTTCTTGGTTAACACATTGTCATGATAATTAAGTTATTTATGCATTATTTTCTGTCTCAGACAAGTCTTAATTTAAAAATTTGTATCTTTTAGTTTTTACTTTTTTCTTAAAAAATCTGGAAGGGGTTATGTGTAATTTACCCTTGCTTTATTAGAGTGACTAATTTATTAATAGTAGATATAAAGGGACCAATGTCTAGAAAACCCTTACTTATCTTGGGCTTGCAACGGCATTGATATTTGATTTGTCTAAAAGCATCTGTATTTTTTATTGCTAGGGTTACATATATGGCGAGGCAAGCTTGAGCTTCTTGGTTGTACTCAAGCAATCTGCCCCCAGCTATCACTATCTGGGGTCTTACCAAATATGTACATATGGAAAAGCTTGCTTCTTTACCAAAAAGTAAGCCCTCCCAAACACAATCTATAAATATGCCAGATTTTGCAGGCACGTAATTTGATTGAGTAGTGATAACTGTACATAGGAGTTACACTACTCTTGTACTACTGCACAAAAAATGGACCTATTCTTCTAAGTTGCAGGGTAAAATTATGAGTTGCTATGGAGCCCACTTTGTGTCTAGTAGTACAAGAATAGTGCAACTCTTGTAGTACACTTAGCATTTCCAGTTTGTTTTTGACAAATGCTTTTTTTTCCATATTCAAATGCAGATGTCTCATGTCTATTGTTCTCTCACTTTCGATTTTTTGGTGGATATATCAGATTTGTTAGAAAATTCTGAGTAGATAATGACCCATGTATTTATTGAAAAGAAAAAAGTAGTAAAAATAAAGTAAAATATGACAATGAAAATATTTCTTTAAAGAAAAAGTAATTATATGTTTAGAGAAGAAATTATCGAATGCATGCTTCTTTCGTTTCAACTGTCTTTTTATTTATTTATTTATTTATAGAGTAGTTATGTTTTTCCATGAGGAACTTAACCAACAGGTTAAGGTGCCTGTGCATCCTCTCCCCAGTTTTTATAAAGCAATGTTTTGGGTAAATTTCATGGAACCCTACTGACCTTTGGGGTGATTAGTACAAAACCTCCCTGAACTTGAAAACTGTAGAAATCACGAATAAGAATCCGATCAAAACCACTCCTGTAAGAGTGGGGTGGTTTGCACCGTATGTGAAATAGCTGGAGTTCCCAAACCAACCCTCTAACAACCCGTGAACAACCCGTGAATGGTATAGATCACGCTATTCTGTGAGGTAATTCTGATATAATATGCACTCAGAAACCACCCCTGACCTTTGGGGAGTTTCACAAAAACTCATTGATCTTGTTGATTGGCAGGGTTGCGGAAATGGGGGAGGCGAGCTTAAAATTGCCTGCTGGTAAGTAGGCAACTATTTCACAATTGTCCCTTTCTTTTTTTGAGATAGAGAGAGGGGTCTATCTGAGACTCCTCTCACATGTAAGGATCAAACTGGCAATACGAGTTGTCACTACTATAAAAGTTGCATATGCCCACACTTATTTTACGACACATGTAGAAGTGTAGTGTTAATTGCAAAGGATTAAACAACAGTGACACAAATAAAAAATATTGCAAGCCATGACGCATGTTTGTGTTGTTAGATATAAAATAAAATAAAAGTGAAAAAGGCGCTTCATCTTTCAATGGAGCAGCTGAACGAGATGGACTTGTTATTTAGTCCCAAATCGCTCGGTTAAGAAGAGCAAAGCAAGTTATAATAATTTTGCTGAAGTCACATTGCAATCTGGGTCGGAATATGAAGAGGCGTATGTGCCTTTGCAGCTGGTGGGATATTAGTGGGGATTCAGTTAAGGGGCTGTTTGGTCAGGGGGAAAAGGTAGGAAGTTGATTCCTATGAGGACATAAATTGACGAGCAAAAGCAAGAAAATTGAAAATCAACACAAACATGTCGCAACTCATGACACATGTATATGTCACAACTCTTGAAACATGCATGTGTTGCAAGTTTTGCGACACATTCTCAAGTGTAGAAACTCTACACACATGCTCTATCCACATTTTCGACTTGTGTCACGCTCTATTTGCATGACACAGAAATGTGATGTGATGTGACAAAAAAGTATCACAATTTAACACTTATATTGTAGTGTGTTAACATTAGGAAATGGTGAGGCCAGCTTGGATGGCCTTGTAGCATGTAGGCAACCATCTTGCAGCCGCTCATTTCTTGTTTTTACGTGAGAAGAAAGTCGGACAAATTTTCAAAAGAGACCCATTTGTGAACTTAATCCCAAAAAACGACCTCATTCAAACAAAATTTCAAAAACCGACCTGGTTTCAGCCTCAGCACTGAAACCAGGTCGGTTTTTGAAATTTTTTTTCCGAAACTTCACGGGAGTTCAACTCCCGTGAAGTTTAGCAGATCTACTAAACTTCACGGGAGTTCAACTCCCGTGAAGTTTCAGAATTTTTTTTTTAAAACCGACCTGGTTTCAACGCTGAGGCTGAAACCAGGTCGGTTTTTGCAAATTTGTTTGAATGATGATGTTTTTTGGGAATAAAAGTCTAAATGGGTCTCTTTTGAAAATTTGTCCGAAGAAAGTCTAATTAGCCCCCAAGTTAAAGACCGCTCTTTTTAGTAGCCGTATGTTTTATTTTATGAAAATCAGCCCTCAACTTTTCATTTTGTCTTCTTTTTTAGATCATGCTTTTACTAAAGGTATTCATATTTGTATTTTGTGGATTATAATCCACTTTGTCCATTTGCCAAACATGCTCTCCATTAAGTTGCCCAGAAACTTTGATATTTTAGATTCAAGGACGCAGATATGGCGAGGCGAGCTTGAGCTGCCTGCTGCTTCCATCTTCTGCTGAAAAAGTTGACTGCGTTTCTCTCTCCCTCTGCTCTCATGTCAATGTTATGATTAGATATCAGATAGTTGGATTTTTTAGGTTTACTTTTAGAGTTCTTACTCTTATCGCTTTTTTCATGAAATACAATTGCGTGAATTTCATTAATAAGGAGCGAAAGTGGATGGGAGATGCTAATCTTTAGTGCAGGCTGCAAAATATTATATATTTCTTATATTTACATTATGTTGATTTTTTAGAAATATATTTATCTTTTCATATCCAAAACGTACGAATCTCATGTCTATTGTTTTCTCACTTTGAATTGTTTGTTGGATACATAGGAACAGAAACAAAGTTCTGTGTACCTAACTACTCCCATAAAATATTTATTCAAATGAAAATAGTATTAACAATAAAGTAACAGATGACATAAATTCTTTCTTTAATGGAAAGGTAGTTACATTTTTAAGGAATTTATTAAATGCATGCCTTTTTCTTTCGGTTGTCTTCTTTATAGAATTTTAAGCCTTTCCTTTAGGAACTTAGCTAGCAGGTTTAAGTATCAATGCAGGTGTCCGTGCGTCTTCTTCCTCTCAATTTTCAGGAAGCAGTTTTTGGATAAAATTTCAGAAAATGAAATGAACTTTGGCCAATTTGCACAAGACCTCCATGAATGTGTAATGAAAACTCTTCTAAACTTTGGTGGAATTTCAACCGCTGATCTTTTTGATTGCTAGGGTTGCAGAAATGGTGAGGCAAGCTTGAAGTTGCCTGCTTGTTTGCTGGCAACCAGTTTGCAGCCATCCCTTTCTTCATTGTAGGGGGAGAAGTCTATCTGAGCCTCATCCTCTAACAGGTAAGCTAGGGTTGCAAAAGAATCGAATTTGGTTTGGGTAACTGTATGGTCTACTTGCTGATCCATGACACACACTTGACACCTTCTTTGGTCAGGCGAGAAAGGCTACTGCTTTGCTCTCTTAGATTGGAGGTAAATGATATGATGCAGACATTGAGGTTCTTTTGCACTAGGTTTATAAATCTATATTTTCTACTGCTTGATGTGCCAAATTGCATGAATTTTGACAATAAGAAAATGGACGCAAGATATTAACTTTAATATGCAAACAAACTTTGTGTTTAATTTTCTGGTTGTTTGCACGTATGCCCCTTAATCATGGATATTTACAAACATACCCTCCAAATCTTAGTATTTGCAAAACTACCCCTCAAATCATCTACTTTGGCAAAAAATATCTGTAGAATCAATAAATTATCACCTTGATGAGTATAAATTTGATTATTTTGTTGATAATTGTTACATTCCAGTTGCAAATTGGCCTATTAAAGTTGATGATTTCTAGATATGGGGGCATTTTTTTCTCCCAGAATTGATGTTTTGAGGGGTATGATTTAAAGGGTATATATGCAAATAACCCTAAAATTTTTATGTAGACAAGATTTGTTACATATTTTTTCCCATATCAAAATATAAAATTTATTCCTATTTTTTAAATTGGACTTGTAATAAAATTGTGAGTAAATAACTACTCACATTAAATACTTATCAATAGAAAATAGCATTAATAATAAAGTAATGGGTGATATTGAGATATTTCTTTAACTTAAAAGCAATGAGATGTTTAACAAAGAATTTATCTAATGGACGTGCCTTTTCTTTGAACGTCGTTCTTTTAAGAATAATGAGTCACTGCCCATCCCCCCCACCCCCTCACCAAAAAAAAAAAAAACCAGAACATCTGCATAGGTGGATATAACTGTATCTATTACGATGCAAATATGATACTACATATCTGAGCAGTATTTTTTTCCATTGAGGGATCAAATTGCAACACCTCATGGGATTGGAGGGACTCATGAGCAAATACAAAGATTTGAGTGACTAATGTGGAGTTATTGAAGATGGGAGGGACTAATATTTACATATTTTCCTTCATTGCTTATTCCTCTCAGTTTTTATGAAGTATATATTTATTTTTTGCACTCGAGTACATGCAGCTGAAACATTACAATAATAGAATCATGTAAACATTAATTTGCAAAAATAATATGTCAAGTGTTTGTGGGAAAATTTACAGTAAAAGAAACGAAGGAAAATTGATTTGTATTCCTTTAATCTCAGTTACAATTGGATTTCCTGATTACAAAAGAGAGGAGAATGATCTGGATTCTCCCCTTTGTTTAATTCTGGGTTCTTCACGGTGGCGATGAGATGCCTCCCTCGAATGCTCGCGTCGAGTTTGCTTCTCGTTGACGATCCGATGTCTTGTTTCACTGGAACGTAGTCTTCTCCTCACGATTTGACGTTGTGGAGAACTCTGAACGAGTTTAAAACTCTATGAAAGAGTTGATTTAACCGAAAGTCGGTTATAAGCCAAGGATGAAGAAGATCTTATTGTCGATCTCCAAAGCTCCAACCGAAGGATGAAGGATCCTCTTTTCGCTGCCAAGAAGTTCCAACTAACCGCCCTCCAAAGATCCAGCCCTGATCTGATTATCAAAAATCCGATCCTTAACTCTGTTGAGTTTGTTGTTATTTATAGGGGATTAAGGGGTGTAACCACCTCCTTAATTCGCTCCTAAGTGGGGCTAATGGAATGTAACCGCCCCTTAAATCACTCCTGAGTGGAGTTGTGATCCCCTCAGATCGTAGGAAACGGTTTTGAAACCGTTCAACTCGTGTTTGAACGAGTCAAACGCAGATCCTGCATTCTGGCATGAATTCTGTGTCCAAACGCAGTGTCTGGAAGCTTGAACGCAGTGATTGGAAGCTGCGTTTGCAGCGGATGAAAGCTGCGGTTGGCAGCGGTATAGAACTGCGTCGGGCAGCGCTTGGAGCTGCGTTGGGCAGCGTCGGACGGCTGCGTTGTGCAGCGATGTTGAGCTGCGTCGGGCAGCGATGTTGAGCTGCGTCGGGCAGCGAATAGAGCTGCGTCCAGTGGCGATTTAAGCTGTGTTTGCAACTTTTGGAGCTGCATTTGAGCTGCGTTCGTGGCTATGAATGCGGCGCATCTTGATGCTGGTACGCGGGGAGGACTTCCACGTCTTGGTTTGAAGAGACCGTCGATTTGTAGTCTCTTTCTGTCAAAGCGTTGCAAAGATCGTTATTTTGTAATCTTTGCTGTAGCTCTCTGATATATGAGAGTCGTCAGATTATAACTCCCGATGTTGATTATGAAGGCTGTTTGATTAGAGCTTCCATCAATTGTTGTGAAGGTCGTCAGATTGTAACCTTTAGCGATCTACGTGAAAGTCTTCAAATTGTAACATTCTGGAAGTCGTCAGATATCTATTGTGATTTTTAGACAGCCTACAGAACCCCCTCCAAAGTTTTCGAAAGTTCGCGGTTGACTGGGACGAATTTTCGGAATACTTTGGATCTCAACTCTGATCTTGGAGCTGTTGATTCCTTGTGGTAAAGGATTTGTTCTCTGCACTTGCTTCGAATGCATCATGGTTGAAGGGATTTGCCACGTAGGACCTGTGTGAAGGTATGCGCCATAATCCTGCTTCTGGAATGTGGGGGTGGACCTTGCATTTTGAACTTGAGATGCGGGTCTCACCCTTGCATGTTGAATTTGGAACACGGGTGTGACCTCGGCGTTCGGTTTTTGCATCGCGGGTCTGACCTCAACGTTTTGACTTAAGACATGGAAGTGGTTTCCGTGTATTTTTGACTAAGTCTTTGAGACTTGTCTTTGGCTCATCTGTTTTAAGTCTCGGCTCACATCCATTAAGCTGATGGACCTGCAAACGTGCATAGGATTTTTGGCAAACCCTCAGCCATCAACGGATTTGATAAGCCTTTACCGACTACCGTTTGAGTCGGGCTAGCATGTGGATTGTCTAAGTCCGTTCCACATGTAACGTTGTGCTAAGAGAATGAACCCTCTTAGACTTGATGCTATGATTTTGAATACATAGACTTTGTCATTTTCACGGGAAAAGACTAACCGGCAACGCGTGTTAGGCGTAGGCTTATCTCTAATTAGGGATCGAGATAAAGTCCCCCATGCGTAAAAGGCATGGATTTTGGTGCTACGATGTTGAATACGTAGACTTTGTCGTTATTTCTTCCTGTGTTACTTGAAACACTGAAAGAAAGTTGGAAGCGTCAGAGGTGTAATATTAACTTGGCATGAATTTCACTTAGAGTGAAATTCAGAAATTTTCTTTATTATCACTAGGATAATTCCAGAAAATATTTAATCCGTTGGGGATTTTATAATGACAACTTGCTATTCTTGTGAAAAAGGATTAACAAGTTCATTGGGGGGGTTTGACTGTTAGAGGTGTGATGTTAACCTAACAGTATTTTATGGACCTATCGCTCTATTGAAGAGAGTCGATAAGTTGATTATGTCGTTAGAGGTGATCAGAGCAATTTTGAGGACCTATCGCTCTATTGACGAGAGTCGATAAGTTGATTTTGTCAGAGGTGTTTGATATTAACGTGACAAGAGAATGTTGCGATCGGAGCAACTTTGAGGACTTATCGCTCTATTGGGAAGAGTCGATAAGTTAATTGTCAGAGGTTTGGTGTTAACATGTATTAACGTGACAGGATTTTGTGTTGCGATTGGAGCAACTTTGTGGACTTATCATCCTATTGACGAGGATTGATAAGTGGGTTTTGTCAGAGGTGTATTGTTTAACGTGACAGGATTTGTGTTGCGATTGGAGCAACTTTGGAGACTTATCATCCTATTGACGAGGATTGATAATTGGATTGTTGTCAGAGGTATATTGTTAACGTGACAAGAATGTGTTGCGATCAGAGCAACTTTGTGGACTTATCATCCTATTGACGAGGATTGATAAGTAGGTTGTCAGGGGTATGATGTTAACGTGATAAGAATGTGTTGCGATCAGAGCAACTTTGTGGACTTATCATCCTATTGACGAGGATTGATAAGTGGGTTTTGTCAGAGGTGTGATATTAACGTGACAAGAGAATGTGTACTTGTGACTTGCACAAGATTTTAGGAATTAGCGTCTCGCTGGGGAAACTTGCTAGGTGAGTTTATCATCAGAATTGATGAATTTTGATGCTTGTGATTTTAATTTGATTTTGAAGACTTAGTGTCTTGCTGGGGAAGATTGCGATTTGAGCAATTTTGAGGACCTATCATCCTATTGGTAAGGATTGATAAGTTGATTTGTCAGAGGTGTATGTTGTTAACGTGACAAATTGGGAGTAATGCGAGTTGCATTCATACTCCGTGGGGGTGATGATCGTCAGAAGTGTAATGTTAACTCGACGATGTGAAAGATTCGTTACTCTTAATCCTGTGGATTCCAAGTAACCAACCCCCAGTCTTGATTAAGACTTAGCAGGGGAATAAAAAGAGGTAGACAAGGCACATCCCCTAGTGGGGCACTATCTATGAAGTCGGAATAGAGGCACATCACCAGGTAGGCTATTATCTGATGAGTTTGACTATCAGAGGTAACTGTTAACGTGATAGTTTTGTGGACCCGCCATCCTATTAAAGAAGATTAGCAAGTTGATGGACTATCAGAGGTAAATGTTAACGTGATAGTTTTGGTGGACCCGCCATCCTATTGAGGAGGATTGGTGGGGAATTTGGAGGAAGTAGACTATCAGAGGTAACTGTTAACGTGATAGTTTTGGTGAACCCGCCATCCTACTTGAAGAGGATTGACAAGTTGAGGGACTATCAGAGGTAGATGTTAACTAGTGAGGCACTATCCATGAAGTCGGAATAGAGGCACATCACCTGGTAGGCCATTATCTGATGAGTTTGACTATCAGAGGTAACTGTTAACGTGATAGTGTTGGTGGACCCGCCATCCTACTTGAAGAGGATTGGTGGGGGAATTTGGAGGAAAAGGACTATCAGAGGTGACGGTTAACGTGATAGTTTTGGTGGACCCGCCATCCTACTTGAAGAGGATTGGTGGGGAAATTTGGAGGAAAAGGACTATCAGAGGTGATCATTAACGTGATAGTTTTGGTGGACCCACCATCCTACTTGAAGTTTTGGGGGAATTTGGAAGAAAACAGACTATCAGAGGTGATTGTTAACGTGATAGTTGTTGTGGATTTTGTGATTGACAGAGGTATTCTGTTGAACATGACAACTCAGAAAATTTGTTACTCATAATTCAATGAACTACAAATAAACCAACCCCCAGTCTTGAGCAAGTGCAGAGGGAAAAAGGGTAGACATGGCACACCGCCTAACGGGCCACTATCTACTTAGGTTGACTATCAGAGGTAATTGTTAACGTGATAGTTGTTGGACCTGTCATCCTATTGATGAGGAGGATTAGCTTCAGTGGCCGTAGTATCTTCCGGTTCTGACTGAGAAGATTGAGCTTGGTCCGATTGCTCAGGAGAAGATTGGGCTTGGTCCGATTGCTCAGGAGAAGATTGGGCTTCGTCCGATTGCTCAGGTGGATCCTGCCTACTTTGTTCTTCAGCTTTGATCCTGGCAATAATCTTTTGAGCCTGTTCGCCTTGAGAGATTAGTTGTCTCCAAGAACGACATTCTGCAACCCTCATTTGTGCTAGAAGGTTGGTCTGCAAGTTGTGTCGACAGGTCTCTACTAAGGTAGACTGTGTCATACCTGACGAACACCGGAGAGCCATGGTTCGAAACCTCTTGACGAAGGCTTTGACGGACTCCCTCTTCTTCTGCTTAGTGGCGAGAAGGATATGGATGGAGACTTCTGTATCCTCTTCAAAGAATCTTGACAGGAAGAGTCTCTCTAGATCTGCCCACTTTTGGATACATCCGGCAGGCAATTTTCTGAACCATTCAAAGGCAACTCCCTTGAGGGTGCCAATGAATAATCGAGCTAGTATGGCGTCGTTTGATATCACATTCCCAGTCTGTGACTTGAAATGATAGATATGTTGGTTCGGTGATCCCGTGCCGTCAAAAGTTTGTAGCGTCGGGACTTCGAATTTTGGAGGATAAGGGGCTGCATCCCATTCGGCAGGATAGGGTCTGACAACTCCCTCGTCTTGGAGCTTGCTTTTATTGGCAATGACATTGTGGCGGGCTTCCAATTTTTTTATTTTGGCAGACTGGAGATTCTGCTCGTTCTCCGTCTCTCTTCCTTCATCAGAGGAAGATTCTAGGTTGTGGGCTTCTTGGTCAGAAGCCGTGTCATCAACCACCTTTCCCTTCCCTTTGCTTGTGTGAGGTCGGGACGAAGACGTTCTTTCCCTTCGGGAAGATTCTTGCCTGAGTGGCGAATCTGTCTTCTGAGATTGGCCTTGTCTGCAACGAGTTGAGTCAACAGGGGCAGGAGTTCATTGATGGCCTCTTGCTGAGATTTGAGCATGGCCTCCTGCTCATCAAGTCTCTTCGCGAGATCTTCATGGTTTCCCGTCATATAAGCGGAGCTCTCATGTTCAACAAAAGAGCTTGATGACTGGGACTCTGCAATGGCTGAGTGTTCATCATCGGAATTAATTCCTTTGGCTAACCTCCGATAGTTGATA